TCGTTTGAGCGCCCGTTGTCGGCTGGCCTCTTCTTCCTTCTCGTGCCAGGGGGTCATGAACCTCTCAGCTCCCTGCAGCACCGCCGCATGCGAGGGTACTCCCCCTCCACCTTCGCGGCTTCCGTCCACTTTCACTTTGTATGTCCACGGACTCATTCTGGCAGCACTTCAGACAGCAGCTGCATGCCCCGAGCTTGTGTACCATGCACCATGGTGTTATTTTTGTACAGACAGCACTTCAGACAGCAGTACGCTGTAGTCGACAAACATTCATTTTGGTTAAATGCGGGACAAGGGGGGTGATGCTGCTGCTGTGGTCGAATTGTAGTGTGTGGGCGTGTAGTTCAGTTGTGAGCACTCAAACGTGCGGCAGGGATTGTAGGTGTACCTTCTCGGGCTGGTGTACCCTTGTCTTGCTAATAGTGGGCGTGTTCTTTAGATCTTCTCATGGCTCTAGCATTTTGGTGACCACGGACCGAGTCTTTGCTAGATGTTGAGATTGGCAACTGACACGAGTTTAATGTGAAGAAAACAACAACAACAACAACAACAGTGCGGGCCCCGCAGATGAGAAACAAACGTCACAATCGGGTCGAGGCTCAACCCCTTAGTTTGCGTCGAAAGATCAACCGAAGGCGTCCATTTTCTTAAGGCCGCCGTGGTTTTGATAGTTCGTTTTTTTGTCGTATGGAGAGACTGTGAGGCGTGTTCATCGGTGGCCATGTGCCGGTTCGTAACTTTCACCTGATACCGCCATTTGTATGCGCGTGATTTCAATCACTGAACCGAAATCTTGATAAAATTGCGTCGATTTCACGTTCAAATCCCCACGTCACCACCTGCTGACCTCCTCGCTTAAAAGACCAGCTCCATAGACATCGTTTGCCATGTCCCACGAGAGTTGTGGCTGACATCGACACGCCCATGGCCATACGTGCAAAGACGAGTACAGGAGACAACGAGCCCTGGCTCGAGACGTCCGAGGGTATCGCCGATGGTGCGAAAGAACAGAAAAAGTAGAATCTGCTGCTTCGGCGGCAGCTGTACAGCTGCTACTACTGCAGCCTACATCGGCTACAGCAGTAGATGGTCAAGGCGAGCTAGACAAGGAGTTCTGCGATGGATGGCTTGGCCACCCTCCTCGTAGACGAGACCCCGTGTGCTGCTAAGTAGACGCCTCTGGCGATGGCGCTGCCTGAGAGGGCCTTGGAACACCCAGTGGAGTCCGAGCATGGCTGAAAGAGCAAGCGGAGGTTCGCGAGCGGGTACACGTGCGAGACACCGTTGCCGAAATGGGACGCCAGCGACCCAAACAGACGACGACCTGTGGACGCCAGCAGGCCCATCTCATAGCCCACAGGCCAATACCCAGGTATGTGTATTGTGGCTTGCTTCGTTCTTCACAGACATCTCTCTGACGCGCGGCCTTCTGCTGGAAAGCCGCAGATTGATTGTACAGCAGCACCCGTTTTTGCAAGAACACAATCAACTGGCTCAATCCCATCCTACAACGGTTGTCTATGTTGGATAAAACTCCTGTTTGCACGCACCAGTTACATAGATGTAGAGTTATGAGTGACTGGTGCCCCGGAGCGTATAAACCCTCTCCCTCTCCACAACCAAAACAACTGCGCTGTGCAAAATCAAAGTAAAAGGCCCAAAAATGACACACCATGCGTCCCCTGCACCATTAATTAGCAGTTGGAGCTCCACCTCAGCACCGGATCCCGAAGATGTGTATTCAAACGATACTCGTACGGGACGCGGTCGACGAGAGGTTTCCTTCACCTCGGGCATTTTCTGCATCACCACTGCTGTTTCTCTCAGCATTTGAATTTTGTACAGGAGGGGTGATATCTTGCGTCACCCTACGGTGTCATTGCCTCTTTTCGGGGTTCAGGATAAAGCCAAGGTATGCACGATACGTGGAGTTTATGGCATGGATTAGGCAGTGCTAATTTATCCTGCAACCTTGCTCAAGGTTAGTGGCTACTTGTTTTTGTTGATGTATTAAATAATCCATGCTCCCCCCTCCCTCCCCTCCACCGCCCCCGCCCCCTATTAGTTTGTGCTCTCGACCGTCTGAAGGAGAGGGACAGCGCCGGCGATGATGTTTCGTAAGTGCTTGCGCGCACAGTGTGGAGCAACCTGCAGTCCTTGGCGGCCCTGGAGATTGGGGCAAAGGGGCTGGGGAGGAAACAATGCAAGCGCGGGGAGTGGTTACGGCGTGATACGAGGGCATTCCTCGTGATGTTGTACTACTAGCGGTGCTGAGGCACTTTGGTTCTAATGTACGTTTCTGTTCGAACGCGATGTCTTGTCCAAGTCAACAGCGATGTTTTTTTTGTCGTTGTCCAGCTGCACTACTGGCGTAGTGCTGAAAAAAACAATATCGTGAGGAAGTGTTGTGGACGATACTGTAGGGTTGTTATTGCGAGGCTGCTCAGGCTTATACACGTGGGCAGAGGGGGAGTGGAGGGACGGCGCATGATTTTGTTTTGTCACGAACAAAGAGGGACACTTGGCACGACACGCCCCGCGAGGGACGGGCGATGTCCAACATGTTTGTCTTTGTTGCCGCCCTTGTCGAAAACGGCAACGAGCAAGAGGCACACAAATAAAAAACGAGAGACGCTGAAGCAGAGCGCCCCCGATATGCCACGTCTTGTTGCGGCATGCAGCCGACAAACGACTAAAAATTCCCTTTCCGTCACCAGCGCACTATATCGTAGCGTCGGTGTTGGTCGAATGAGGGGATGCCCTCTTATTCTATCTCGGTGGCAAAATCAAGACAAACCACGCGTAGGCCCCGCGACATCGACTTTTTCCCTCTGTAGTGTATAGCCTAAAAATACACGGCTCCCTATTAGCAGCCACACAGAGAGCCGGCGGTCCCTTCCTCCGAATCTGGCTTCGGTGCCGCGAGACCTATTTTTTTGTTGTCACCTCCTCTCCCTAGCGAAAACCTCGCCCCCCTGCCACCAGCGCAGGAGGGTTGCCGTGGGTACTCGGCATTCTTCCGTATATCTACAACAGATGTACACAAACACTCAATCCGCAAAAAAATACAAAAAATTGGGCACAGGGTCTCATGTGCAACACACACAAAACATAAGGAACGTGCGGTCTGTTTTCCTGCTCCGCCGCTTGTGGGGTGGTTACCTTGCATCCCCCTCCCTAACAGTCCCGAGAGCAAAACAAAGAAATAGTCAAGTCGAGCGACTCTTGGCGCCTCTCGAAATACATTTTTCACAGCACCCCCACCCCACCCTAATTAGACGTACGAGGGCGCACAAACGTGAAGGGTCAACAGGGTTTGATAAACTTCGAAACCTCATGGTTTCCCTCTTATCGCCTGCGCCCCTCTTGGCAGTCCCAGAAAAAACACGTACATACAAAGCGATTCGACGACTTCGTTTACATACCAACACGACACCTTGCGAACACCAGACACAAGGATAATGTCACTCAACGCACGTAAATTAGCAACGGGATCACATGACCCCTGTTGATCTAACGCCCCACCCCGACTACAGTTTTCAGTGCCAGCCAGCCTTTGCCCTCTAGTCGCGGCCGACGACCCACCGAGCCACCCACCGAAGCCTCCAGGATTTACGAAAGGCTCCTCCCAACCAAGGCTCAAGGCTCGCTCCCATCGTCGCTACTACTGTTCGAGTCTGCTGATTCCCTCTGCCGCTCCAGGTCCATGTCACCCTGGGCGGCACTGAAACAAGAGAAAAAAAGGACCGTGGCAAAATTAGCAACGGAGATAATTAGGGTCCCGGCGATGCACTCCATCATGGAGCTTGGAATGAGTTCATTCGGGCACACGAGGAATATTCAGGTTGGGCATGCCTGCACCCTCAGCATCATGCTCGACAACACCATAATATTGTCGCCAAGGAACTTTAATAGCTGCACTAACGGGTACATGTTTTGTTCATCTTGCTATCACAGCAGTGCTTGTAGTTTTCAGACCACGACGCCCGTCCACTCGTAACCCCGACAGAGGCACCATAAAAGATACAAATAGCACATACCCCCGTTTCGTTTCTTCCGGAAGCGCTTCTTCTCGTTCATCTGGCGTAGCTGTACCACCCCCAACCTCCTCCTGTGCTGTCATCTCGCCAACGGCCGGGTTGGTATCTCCAGTTGTCCCTTCGAGTTCTGCAGCACCGCCCCGCGCCGGCACGCACAAGTTATCTTCTCCTCTGTCCTCAAACTTGGGTCGTGTCGCGTCCTTCCCCCTTAAAGCCAACCACCAAACCCTGCGCGGCCTGGTGGCCCCCTGGCCGCGGAAAACGTCAGCCTTCTCCAGTTGGTCTTGTACCCTTTTCCCCTTGGTCGCCGCACTACCGCTCCCCCGTAGGCCCTGATAAAAACGCTAATAGCTCTCTTTACCTAGACCCAGAGCCATCTCAACTTCTTCCTGACGATGCCAACAACTGCGCACTGGTTGGGCGCACAATAGGGTCGCGATGTCTGGACCAGTGGCGACTGCAGGGACAGCGGTTTCGTTGCTTCCCGCTGTGCCTGCGCGCCAAGGAAAATGAAGTTTTGGGTCATTTCTAGGTTGACGGTATCGAATTTCAATCGCCCGCAGAGCCCTACTCGTACGCAATGTTAGTGCTTCATATAAAGGGTCTCGACTCCAGCTATATTTTACCTTCGGGACACTTTTGGCCAGGTTCTACTCCCGTTGAGCCTGCTCTGCCTGAAGGCAGGGTACTTTCAGGGGGGGGG